AATCACTCTCCCCGCCATCTGGAGTGGCCCACACAGGCCTCAGAGGGACGGGATGGTGGGGTTGCACACCCAGCCCCACAGGGCCCTCACATAACCCTGTGGTGCCCCTGGGGTTCCTTGGGGGTAGGCATCTGAGCATGGCTGAGCTAGGAGCTCCATCTTTGTCCTACCCCAGCCAGAGTTTGGATGGTTGAGGACACACACGTTCCCATGCTGACTCCTTGGGAGGAGTCCTCACGGGAGCTTCTGCCCCCTGCTCCTTGCTGCCTCCAGTCTCCCCTTCTTTGCCCAATAGCATCCACCTCCTCCACATCCCAGCATCAATCTGGACAGCTGCATCCAGGTGCTCTCGGTCCCATGAAACGCTTGCACGCCCTGTGCCTTAGCCTGGCCTTCCACAATTGACCATCCTTCTCACTAAGCTTCTATCGTGCTGGCTGGCTGGAGGTGTGGGGACACTGTTCTCTAGAACTTGGGGCCTCCTCCAGGTACTCACAGGGCTGGGTGTGCCCGCCCGGCTGTGACCTGGTGGCCAGTGCAGATTGACCATGTTTCATCCCCCTGCCCTGAGAGCAGACCCGTGGCCACCAGCCTGTGACCCCTACTCAGCTGGCGGCTCCAAGCTGACTCATGCACCCTGGCACTGCCCCCCCGCCCATTCTCCAGCAGCTGCTGACCTCCCTCCCCCCAAGGTTACTGGTCACTTTGACCTGTCGCCAACCTTGTGTTTCCCCAAGAAGTTCTGAGCCACAGGGCCCTTATCCCTAGCCCAAAGCCTGGACAAGTGTGAGAACTGAGAAGGGTCATGACTGAATGTAAGAGAGGTAATGACAGGGAGGGAGAAGGAGAGTCAGAGTCAGAGAAAAAGACAGAGACAGAGAGAGACACTGCAGAGAGAAAGACAGAGAGAGACACACACAGAGAGAGATAGAGGTAGAGAGACAGAGAGAAAGACAGGGAGACAGACACACACAGAGAGATAGAGACAGAGGGAGAGAGGCAGAGACAGAGACAGAGAGAGAGACAGAAGCAGAGATACAATGACAGAGAGACAGAGAAGAGTGACAGACTGAGGGAGGGGACAGAATTTGAAGACTGGCAGAGGGCCTCTGTCCTCCGTGCCCTGCCTGACCCTAGCCTGTCGGCCTGCTCCCAGGGTGTGCACAGAACTCAGCCCCGCCTGGGCCATGGAACTGGCAGGTCTGCCTTGGAGTCAGTGCTGAAACCCAGATCCTGGACCTTTCTCTTCTGAAGAGTCTGCACGCCCGGCACCTGCTGCCACCTGGACGCTGCATTGACTGTCCTGAGGGCTCAGGGGCATCTTCCTGCACACAGTTGGTGAAGGTCATGAGGCCTGCTCTAGGCTCAGGGTTCATCTCTGGGGTCTTCCCTGGGGTCCCCTTCAGGTCAGTGGTGGGATTATCCACCAGATGTCAGGTGGAGGGATGAGAAGTGACCTCTCCTTCCTGGACTAAACCCCCTTTGATGTCCATTCCCAGACTCTGAGGACACTGGAGGGACCGGGCTGAGCAGACCCTCAGACTCACAGGCAGCTAGAAGCGCAGAGCAGCTGTAGGGGGCCTGCACTGACTCCACTTGGGAGCATGAACTGGAGACTTACCCTCCATGTTCCCGGGCCTGGCCAGGGTGCTGGCAGAAGGCGGTGCTGGAAGCTCTTGTCCCTGCAGCCTGGAATGAGTACTGCCTTCTGCCTGGGCCTCTTCTGATCCAAGAGCAGGAAGCATGGATGGTGCTGGAGCTGCCCACAACTTCGAGTCATCCTGGGTTGCAGGGCCACAGGAGGTTCTTAGGACCCCCCAGACCCTGGTGCCTTCACCCTCTCTGGGCCTCTCCTCCTGCATCCTCCTTTGCTGAGAACCCTACCACGGAGACAGGACACAGGAACTGGCACTGAGACTCTGGGGCCAATGGAGGGGGTTGGGGCCCCCATGTCCTCCAAAGCTCAGACTGGAGGTGAAAAGACTGAGGGAGGAGTAGGAGGTGGGAGCAGTGGTCTTCCCGGCTGAGTGAGGGTAGGATCCTGCCCAGGGGAGTCCTGATGACTCAGCCAGGAAGGGACAATGACATGTTAATGCAAGGGCCACCGGGAGTGTCCGCCCCTCGGCCTGGAGCCCAGAGCAGCTCTGGGGGTACCCTGTATGGCCTTATTTTCTGCTGAGCTGCGGGCCTTTCCCGCAGCCTGGGCCGCCCACTCCACAGAGGAAGCAGTCCCCCCTTCCCCCTGAACTGGGGAGACCGACCTTGTGGCAACCCTGTGCTTCTGCAATGCAGCCTCTGCGGTAGCTGAGGGAATCCCAGGGACCGGGAAGGGGTGGACTGGGGTGGTGTTGTGGAGAGGAACCCTGGCAGAGCCCCCCTCCTGGTCTGCTGCTCCCCAGGGAGCCCCCAGTGACCTTCGGGTGTCCCTGTCAGTCTGTCCTACCCCCACCACAGCCCAAGCCCCCAGTCTGAGGGGGCGGGGGTCTTTGGGCCCGTGCCCCTAGAAGGGAACTCATTGTGTCTCTTCTGGAGACCCTGTCACATCGACACAGCCTGGACGGTCTCGGTCTCTCCTGCGAGGGGCTTCGGGGGTTCTTGGGGGTCTGGGCACCTTCCCCACCTGCAGTGTCCAAGACGGGTGAGCAATGTGGGGGGTGTTGGGAGTGGCGCAGGGGACGGCGACGCCACCTCGAGCCCCCTCAACCTTCCGGGCCAGTGAGGACCTTCCCACCGGGTTCTCAAGCGTGTGGGTCTGACATCCAGAGGTGTCTCCAGGGCGGGAGGGGGGTGAGGACCCCATTGTGAGTGGTAAGTGAGGACCCCGCCGGGCAGGGGCGCCCTGGCAGGTCAGCCCCGTGGGGACCCCCGACAGTGGGGGGGGGC